ATGATGACGGGTTTCTAGTTGTTAGGCGAGCTTAGTCCGCGCAGGCGAGGTGCAGGCTATCAGGCGAGCTTGGTCTTCAGGCGAGCTCGAACCTTCGTGCTGGAGAGTCGATCAAACATGCGAGCTTCGAGCTGTCAGGCAAGCTAGGATTTCAGGCGAGCTTGGTTCAAAGTGCAGGCGAGCTGTGCAGGCGAGCCTATGCAGGCGAGGCTGTGCAGGTGAAGTTGTGCAGGCGAGCTGTGCAGGCGAATCTCATTCAGGCGAGCTTCAATGCTGTTAGGCGAGCTCTATCCTTGCAGAAGGACTTCCTTGCAGGCGAGCTTCAGCCCTTACAGGCGAGCTTGGTTCAATGTGCAGGTGAGGCTGTGCAGGCGAAGCTGTGTAGGCGAGGCTGTGCAAGCGAAGCTGTGCAGGCGAAACTCATTCAGACGAGCTTCAATGCTGTTAGGCGAGCTCTATCCTTGCAGACAGACTTCCTTACAGGCGAGCTTCAGCCCTTACAGGCGAGCTTAGTTCAATGTGCAGGCGAGGCTGTGCAGGCGAGCTGTGCAGGCGAATCTCATTCAGGCAAGCTTCAATGTTGTTAGGCGAGCTCTATCCTTGTAGACGGACTTCTTTACAGGCGAGCTTCAGCCTTTAGGCGAGCTACTGAACATGCTTCTAAGAATAGGCCATAACTTTCAAACCGTAAGTCGGAATTTGACGAATTATATATGAAAATCGACTATCTCGACGAGACGGAGCCAACCAAACCTCCGAAAGGGGTTTGCCGCCTCCGTTTCTCCAAATTCCTTACGGTTTAAGAGATATCAGCGTTTTTTCCTTTTTTGCTCTTTCGGATGAGGTTTTAGCAGTCTTGTTATGAACTTCTCTGATAGGGATAAAGGCAATTTTTATTGTCTACAAGATGTCAGTTAAGTATGACTTCTTAACCTTATTTTTTTTAATTGTTAGTTTTCTCCCCCGATCGAGATATCCTCTGTTATAGATAGTTCACATGTGTCTAGTATATACTATAATTAATGTTGTGACAGATTGGGATTTAAATGAAATAGTCTAAATAATGTATCATATGTTTTATTATTCTTATTTTTTAGATTGTTGAGCTCTAGATAATTCGCATTAGATTAGTATAAAATATAATTAAGATTAGCATAACTTAAGATTTAAATAAAATATTTAAAATATTAAAGAAGAATATTAATTATGAAAAAAAATTCGAACTCGTGCTTTTAGTAAAGGGAATTTGATATAAGGGGCTGTTCGTTTCGCAAAAAAGAATGGGAAATTAAAGAATAGGAAACCTATTTCCTAAAATAATTGTTTTGAGGTTGTTTGGTTGGTTTAAAAAAGAAGGAAAATTATAAAATAGGAGATGAGATGAGATGAGTTGTCACCTTATTATTGGATGATGTGAGTGATTTTTTTTAAAAAATTGTTTTGAGGTTGTTTGGTTGGTTAAAAAAAAATAAGGAAATGAATTGGAGGTATATTATTGGATGATGTTTTTAGGTTGTTTGTGTTTGGTTCGTTTTTAAAAATAAGAAAATAGATGAGATGAGATGAGTTGGAGGTATATTATTGGATGATGTGACACATACTTAAGAAAATCAATTTCTTATTTTTTTTAGGAAATGGATGGAAAGGAAGGTTTAATGAGATGAGATGAGTTGTCACAATATTATTGGATGATGTGTGTGATTTTTAAAAATGAGATAAGATGAGATGTGATGAGTTGGATGATGTGACACATTTTTTATGTTTGGTTTATTTTTAAAGGTAAGAAAGGAGATGAAATGAGATGAGTTGGATGATAAAAATAATATTTTATTGGATGTTATGGGTGAGTTTTAGGGATAGAAATGGATAAAAATATTATTTTATTGATTTCCTTGTACCGATTTCCTTTTTTTTTGATTTTAGGAAACCAACCAAATGGGTCCTAACATGACCTAATATGATTATAAAAAAAATTATACCTAAGGGCCTGTTTGGATTTGTAGGGGGTGAAGGGAAGTTAAGGGAAACTGAGAGAAGGGACGAGAAGAGAAGGGAAGGGAAGGGAGTTCCCTTCCCCCTGGTTACACCCCAATTTGGGGGTAACAAATTTTATACTATTAGGAGGTGAACCAAGGAGAACTAGGGTGAATTAACTTCACCTCCTAAGTGTTCCCAAACAAAATGAATGGAAGTGAATGGTTCCCCTAACTTCCCTTCACGCTCATTCCCCTTAATCCAAACACGCCCTTAAGTTTAAGATAATATATCATATATGTAGCATAAACCCGGTCTGCGGAGAATCCTAGAACGACTGAACCGGATTCCTATATCGCTTACTCGAAAAAGGTCGCGGCCCCACCC